GCACAAGCACCCTGGGCCTTTCCAAGGCACACCCTGCTTCCCTTTTGCATCCTCTACCCCCTCCCCCCCAGGCCAGAAATGCAGCGAAAGGAGTTTTCCTTCTCTAGAATTTTCCATCTCTAATCCACCACACGGGCACATCACTTCCATTCAACCTCATCACTCCCTCCTTTCCTGGCCAGACAGCAAACCCCAGGAGGGCAACCATCACCACCCGGACCCCATATTTCATTAGGATGACTTTCAAGCATTCAGAAAAGTTGAATTTTGGAATGAACCACTCATCCCTAGAGTCTCCAAGGAACATCCCCTGCACCACCATTCCATTTGACCCAGCTCTTTTACTCCTTGGTCTATACTCAGAGGACTTAAAAACAGCACACTACAGGGACACGGCCACATCAATGTTTACAGCAGCTCAATTCACAATAGCTAAACTGCAGAACCAACCTAAATGCCCTTCAGTAGATGAATGGATAAAGACAATGCGGTATACATACACAATGGAATATTCCTCAGCATTAAAGAGAATAAAATCGGGGCCGGGGTTGTGGCTTAGTAGAGTGCTTGCCTAGCACACGTGAGACACTGGGTTCAATCCCCGGCACCACATAAAAATAAACAAATAAAATAAAGGTATTGTGTCCATCGAGAGAGAGAGAGAGAGAGAGAGAGAGAGAGAGGAGAGAGAGAGAGAAATCATGGCATTTGCAGATAAATGGATGGAGTTGGAGAATATAATGCTAAGTGAAGTTAAGCCAATCCCAAAATGCCAAATGTTTTCTCTGATTTAAGGAGGCTGATTCATAATGTGGTGGGGGGATGCTGCATGGGAGGACTAGATGAACTCTAGATAGGGCAAAGGGGAGGGGCCGGAAGGGAGGGGAATGGGGTAGGAAAGACGGTGGAATGAGATGGATATCATTACCCTAAGTGCACAAATGGTGCGATTCTACTTTATGTACAACCAGAGAAATAAAAAAAATTGTGCTGTATATGTGTAATGTGAATTGTAATGCATTCTGCTGTCATATATAACAAATTAAAATTTAAAAAAAAAGAAAGAAAATTGCTGAGAGTAGATTTTAGGTGTTTTCACCATGAAAAAAAATGACACATAACTGAGTGCAGGGGCCCATGCCTGTCATCCTAGCTACTTGGGAGGCTGAGGCAGGAGGATCTCAAGTCAAAGGCTAGACTCAGCATCTTAGTGAGATCCTGTCTCAAAATAAAATAAAAAGGCTGGGGATGCGGCTCAGTGGTAGAGCACTTGCCTAGCATGTACAAGGTCCTGAGTCCAATCTCCAGTACAGAAAGAAAAAATTAACCATGTATGTGAGGTGATGCATATGTTAATAGCTTATTTTAGCCAGTTCACTATGTATATGTATCAAAAATCACATCATATGCCACGCATATACAGTCAGCCCTTTGCATCTGTGGATTCAACCAACTCAGGTGGAAAATACTAGAAAAACAATCTGCACTGAACATGCATGCAGTTTTTCTTCTCATTTTCCCCTAAGCAACTCAGTATAACAACTTTGCATTTACGTAGCACTCTAGGCCAACTCGAGATGATTTAGCCAGAGGTGCAGAGGCCCTCTACAAATGCTATATGCCTCTGTGTGTGAAGGGCTTGGGCATCCACGGGTTCTGGTACTGTGTCGGGGGGAAAGGTTCTGGGACCAATTCCCCACAAATTCCAAGGGATGACTATTACTTTTTCTATCGTTTATGTATCTTTATTTGCCAGATAAAATCATAAATTTAAAAGTTACCTAGAATGAAATGCATGAATCCCAAGCATGCTTTCTGCAGGTTTTGACGAGTGCGTTCACCAGTATGCTCCCAAATCATCAGCAAACAGAACATCGCCCCAGAAAGTTCCTCCAGAGCCCTGCTAAGGTGACCTCTACCTCTGCTCCCAGGCAACCGTTCCTCCCATCTCTCCCACCCTAGCGCAGTGTGGCCTCCTCTAGGACTCCCTGCGAGGGGCCCCATCAGGCCTCCGCTGTTCTGTGGAAGCCTGTGGCCCCCCAGCCTGAGGTTCTCTGGTTCCTCCTGGCCGAGTGACCCTGACCTGGAACTCCAGGGCCTGGCATGGAATCCGTGCCGCAGAGGCCGCCGCAGGTGAGAAGGGGATGGCACGAATGTGTCAGCCCCAAAGGGAAGTCGAGGACACCACGTGTGGGAACCTCGATGGCCTTAAGCCACAACGAGAGTGGGGCCACCTGGGGAGAAAATAGAGGTTCTCCTGGTCCAGAAAAAGGTCTCCCCAGAGCGTGTCCGAGGGCTCTGGGATTTCACAGTCGAGGCTCGCCCGCAGGCACGCCCCCCAGGGCTCGCCCTCGCCCATTGGTCAGCAAGGGTAAGTGCTGGGCGCTGATTGGTTCTTGGTCACTCATGTTATACATTCCAGGTAAGAACTGCCAAGACGGAGGGGGTGATCCTCAAGGTGTTAGGGAGGCAGAAACCTGCTGTAGGTCAGAACGACCTAGGTCCTGGGTGACTTCTGTCTCATGCCTCGTGCCCCCCCCCCCCCCCCGCCTCCCGCCAGCTAAAGAATTTTGTGGCATTTAAAATCCTTTCTCAAATGAAGCTGCCCCTTGGGTCCGAGAGACCTGCGCCCTGATCCTCACTGCTCGCTGGCAGCCTCCTCCTTGTTCAGGGAGGGCGCCTGTCCTTTCCCGTCCATCTACTGTCCCATCCAGAAGCCCCTTCTTGGGGATCAGGCACCGATCCTTCTCTTCGTCTCTATCCGGGGACTCCTGCTATCTTCCCTAGGGTGTAATTCCAAATATCAGAGACCCCCGGGACCCTGCTCTCCGTACTGTGCAAACCCGTGTAATCAAGAACTGCTGCTTCCTGCCGTCCTCCACTACCTGCCTCCCCTTCTGGCCTCCCTTCCTCCCCTCCATCTGGGCTCTGGAACTGCTGCAGTTTCCCTGGGGCCAAAACCCCTTCCCTGTGCAACTGGAACCTCTGGACCTTGCTGGTGAGAGTAACCTCTCTGGGAAGCTAAGTGTGCATCTAACATCACTCCTAGGTGTTTATCCCAAAGAAGTGAAAACCTACAAATGCACATGGTGTGGCCAGAATGTGTCCCTCCAAAGTCCATGTGTTGGAAACTTAATCCCTAAATTCCCCTGTGCATGGAATTTGGAGAATCACCCTTTGGGAGGTGACTAGGGTTCAATGAGGTGATAAGGTTGGGGCTGCCATGATGGCCCCAACCAGTGACTTTATCACAAGAGGAAGAGAGACCAGAGGGGGCACACTAGCTCTGTCTCGCCATGTTATACTATAGACCATGGGTTGGACGATGTTCCCAGGGGCTCATCTGTTGGAAGCTTGGTCCCTAGTGAGGTGACCCTAAGAAATAGTGGAACTTGTAGGAGGTGGGGCCTAGTGGGAAGTCATTAGGTGTTTGGGGGCATTTCCTTGGAAGGGATTAAGTTAATTCTGCTGAGATCCTGGTGAGATCCTGGTTCTCGGGAGAGACTTGTCACAAAAGAACAAGACTAGCCCCTCTCCTCTCTCTGGCTTTCTGTCATGCCATGAGATTTCTCCTTGCTAGCCTCATGATGTAATGCAGCCACAGGGCCCTAACCAGAGCAGATACACGGCTGTTTGGACTTTAGCCGCCAAACTGTGAGCTAAACAAATCTCCTTTCTTTATAAAATACCAAGCCTCGGGTATTTTGTTTCAGCAATGAAAGAGATGAATACCTCAGCAAGAAGGCCTTCACTAAATGCTGTCGCCATGCTCTCAGACTTTCCAGCCTCCAGAACCATGAGTCAAAAAAACTTCTATTCTTTGTAAATTACCCAGTCTTGGGTGTTTTTTTTTTTTATAGCAACCGTAAACACGCTGACCTGCCATTCAAAAATTTGTATAAGAATATTCACCGAAGCCGAATCATAGTAACTTACATTGGAAGCAACCCAAACATCCATCAACGGGTAAACAGATAAGTGAACTGTGGTCCAGCCACACAACAGAATATGACTCCGCAATAAAAAAAGAGAATATTATCGATTCGCATAATAGCATGGCTGAATCTCAAAAGTACTCGGTGGACAGAAAGTATCCAGAAACAAAGGGCTATATGTAATTCGTATGTAATTCAATGTATGTAGAGTTTTACAAAAGACGAGTCACATTGATGGCGATAGACAACAGGTCCGTGGTGGCCTGGAGCAGGGCTGGGGGTTGGGACTGAGTAGGAGGGGAGAGGAGGGGATTTAAGGCACGGTGGGTAGAGGCTGTATCTGGAATGGTGTTCCTCCTTTGCTGCCTCAGGCTGCCACCGCCAGGCATTCTGGGAACTAAAGCAGCCTTCAGTTATGGACTCAGTTCTGCAGGGAACTGGGAGCAGCTGGCCTGTTACTGTCCTCTGTTGCATCCATCTGCTTTTTTGGAAATTCTCAGAGAGCCCCCAAGTCCTCAGGATGAAAGCAGGAAACTTTGGGAGTGCAGGGTGAATTCAGATCAGAAGTCCCCACTTGTTCCAGCCAGGCCCTTTGCAGCCCACACCTCCACACTCCTTCTGCCCAACTGACAGCCTCCCTCCTGCTGGGTTCCGCTTCCTACTCCCGGCTCCCTACCTGCCCGCCACCTTCCTAGCTCCACCTGCAGAAATCCCATCACTTCTCAAAAACCCAGTTTCTCTGGGATGTTTCCTGATAGTCCCAGGAGCTAGGTGCTTTGAGCAAAAGGGACCAGATAATCTCATCAGGGGAGTTCCTCCTTCCTCCCCCTGCCTCAGGGCCTTGTGTCCTGCTGTGAAGTCTGGGATGGATGACAGGGTGCCAGTCTATCCTTCTCTTTCTCGACTAGGAAGAGAGGTGGGCTCAGGTGACCCGGGATTAGGAGAAGGGAGTTTTGAAGCTGGCGGAGGGGTGGGAGTGCAGGGTCCTGTGAGGTTGGAGCAGAGGCCTCTGAGCACCTGGGAGCCAACTGCGCCGGTGGGCGTGGCTCTGGGCGCTGAGCCGGGTCAGCAGCTGCGCCTCTTCTCACAGATGCAGCCGTCCATTTTACTGCTGCATTGTGCGTCGTTCCACAGCCCCGAGTGCAGCATCATGACACAGTCTTCTTGCCTCCTTGAGTCATTGGGCTCTCCCGTGTTCCAGTGGCTGCCAAGGTGAAGTAGGGCGCTGCTGCAAGGCCAGGCTGAGGACGGACCTGGGGTCCAGCCCTCCTTCCCAGCATCTAGCCTGTTTATGGCTTGGAGCTAACCTGTTCACCCTGCGTGTCTAACTTGAGCATGCACCTGGGGTTATTACTTTGGGAGCCCAGAGTTTAACCCTCCTCAGCCAGTTCCTACGATCTGATGTTCCCATCCCTAAGAATTTAGCCCAAGCCAAGGAGTCCCCGAGAGGTGGTCCAAAGCACCTCCCCTCGGGTCTGATTTGTCCCTCTCCCCGATTCTCACCAGGAGTCCGTCCCTCACCTGAAGCTGAGCGGGACTCCATCGATCCACTTGTAGCTCTGAACCTTGCCAGAGTGACGCACAGCCCTCAGGCCCAGCCAGTAGCCCAGGCCGCGAGTGTGCAGATTCAGGAAGCCCTGGGAAGGAGCGGGGACCTGAACCCAGGAGTCCACCAACCGCCCCAGGACCCGAGCCACACACGGCACACGCCAGGTCCTCCCGCTGAGCTCCTCCCTCTCGCTACCTGCTCCTCCAGGCCCCCGATGATCACCAGGTGAGCGCTTAGGTTTGCACAGAGGCGCAGCGACGCCTCCCACGAGCTGGGTGGCTCCGAGAAAAAGTAACAAGAGCCCTGGAAGGTCAGCCAGGACTTGGGGCACGGCTCACAGGAACCTGCAGGGTGGAGGGTCAGAGAGGTGGGCTGTTCCCAGGTGGAGCTCACTGAGCACCGGGTGGGTGGGTATCCCCCACGGGCAGAACCACCGAAGCCAAGTACAAGGGCAGGGCCTGGTGGAGAGTGGCACTCCGAGGCCCTGGCAGGTTCTGCTTGCTTTCCGTCCCCTGCGTTGCTCACCGTTCTGGAACTTGATGCCCTCCAGCACCCGGAACAGTTCAGTGCGGACGTTCTCTCGGTCCCTGCCGGCTTCAGCCAAGCCCTGGGTCACTGCAGGGTCAAGGGAGTTGAGATTACAGTGGAGGTTAGAATCAACCTGTCATGGCCAGGTAAAGGTCAGGTCCCGGTGGATGTCGACCTTGACAACGACTGTCATAAGAGGGTAGGGTCCGGCGTGGCTGGGGTGAGGAGTTGTACTCAAGGTCAGAGTCCAGCCATTAGGATCTGGTCCAGCCATGGAGGTGGGCACGATCAGGGTCAGGGGTCAAGGTCACTGGGGCCAGGGCTGAGGGTCACGCCCCTCACCGCGCTCCTGCAGTTCTTTCAGGGCGCTCTCCTGCTGGAGCACTTTTGCCTGGGTCTCCCCAAGCTCAGTGAGAGTGGTCTGCAGTTTCGCCTTGGTCCCCAAGCCTAGGAAGGACATGATACAGGTGGGTGGGACTTCTGAGGCCAGCCCGCCTGCCCCCACCAGCCTGCCCCCACCAGCCTGCCCTGATCCACCTGCCCTAAGCCCACAAGCGACTGCCAGGCCCCCTTCTTACAGCAGCTGTTGCAGGCTCCGACCTCCTCCTTCAAGGCACCCAGCACCACTGTCTGTTCCGAGGCTGGAATGATGTCCCCACGCGCATGTGTACTTCGTCACCTGAAGGGACTCAGGGGACACCCTTCCCCCACTATGAGACCAGCCTCTGGGTCCCCTGTGTCCTCACCCAGCTACTCCCCGGGCTCAGGACCCTGGACATTCCCACCCCCAGCCCCCAGGGCCCACCGCTCTGCACACACCATTCGTCTCCAGCAGGTCCTGTTGGCCCACCAGCGCCCGGCGCTCCACAGAGGCTGCAGAGAGAAGCTCCTGCAGGCCCAGCGGGGCGACCCGGGAACATCCCCTCACCCCAGGGGTGCAAGGACCCCGTCTTGGGACCCACAGGGGAAGCAGGCCGGCGTACGACACACATGATGATCACATGTGTGGAAGGGAGACAAACGCACGGGTGGGTGCGCCCAGCCCAAAGAGGGACAGCCAGTCTATGCAGGGGTGGCACATTCAGATCCAGGCAGGGGGCTGGGATCATGGAGGGGGTTGGAGCAATGGAAAGGGCAGACTTAGGTCCTCAAGAAGGGGTCACTCACCCTTGGACAACAGAATGCTCAGAATGAAAGCCCATAGGATTGTGGCCACCAGGAGAACCAGGGCCAGGAAGAAAAATCGTTGCTTGCAGTGCTCCCAGCGTCCCCAGTGCCCTAGGAGAACACAGATACTCCTAGGGCCCAAGCACTAAACCCTAGGCTGTGGCACAGAGAGGTTAAATAACTTGCCCACCATGGCACAGCCTCTGAGCAGCAGAGTTAGGATTTGGATCCAGGTCTAACGGGGTCTATGGCTGTGGGGTTTTTTCCTGAACCCATTGCCTGGGTCTTCTTGCCTCCTCTCCTCCATTCCCCATCACACCCCAGACACGCACTAGGAACCCCAGGAGACCAGCTAGGCAATCCATTACTCATACCTCCAGGGAGGTCCTGGGACCCGCCGCCCCACTTGCTGTATCCAGCATTGTCCATGGTGAAGCAGGAGTCCTGTGAAGGGGGCAGAGATATAAATTTAGCCCCCAGCCCCACCCTGGCCACACCCACTCTCTCTTCCTGCCTTCCGCCTTCCCATTTCCTTGGCCTCCATTCCTGGTAACAGGGAAACATTCGCCGACCAATCGCAGGGCCGGCTCCTTGCTGGGCTGGGACATGGTGGGGGGCAGTTCCAGCCTCCCGGGCCTGGTCTCTGCAGCACGCCCCCAGGCTGGTGCTGTGGCTTCTCTTCAGAGCTTGGTCCCTCACTCTTTGGGGGCTGGGTTTCCTCCTGAGTTGGACCTGCTGATCCCAACCAAATTCATACCCCTGCTAGATCCTGAGAAAGCCCCTCCATGGGACCTCCCCAGCCAGTGCCAGATCCGCACCCCGCCCCCTCCATTTCCCCACAGGTGCTTCTCAGAGGTTGGGCCTGACCCTGACCTGAATTCAGTCTCTCTTGGCCAGAAGGGAACAAATGGAAAAGTTTCGGGGTGGCCCGTTAAGCTCCTGGATTCTACTGCTGGGTGGGGGCGGGGTGGATGGGGTTGTATGCAGATGTAGCTTCTGCAAGCCTCAGTTTTCCCTCTGTGAATAGGAGGGGACGATAACAGGGCCTCCCCCAAAGAAGGATAAAGAAGTGAGGTCATGCATGACAGACCCAGCGCCATCTCAGGTGCGAGAAAACCACTAAGTGAGCCAGGTGTGGTGGTGCACACCCACAGACCCGGCAACCAGGGAGGCTGAGGCAGGAGCATCACCAGAGCCCAGGAGCTTGGGGCCAGCCCGGGCAACCTAGCAAGACTCTGCCCCCAACTCCTAAAAACAAATCCCACTAATTATTATGCATTTTTCCAACAAATATTGAACCCTTACTGTGAAGCATACTCTGAGTATTGGGTACATCAAGGAGCAGATTTCTTTGTCCTTGGAACTCAAATTCACTGGGGTGGTCAGGGGATAGACCCTATACTAAATAGACAGCAGTTTAAAAGCACATTTTATAGAGGAGTGTGCTTACCGAAGGGTAAGTGGGCCTCTCAGTGGATATTTGGCAATGTCTGGAGACATTTCTGGTTGTTAGAATTTGGTGTGTGTGTGTGTGTGTGTGTGTGTGTGTGTGAGATTGACATTCGTGGGTAGAGGACAGAGATGCTGCTCAAAACCCTACAATGCACAGGACCGCCTCTGTCCCGTGGCAAAGAGTGATCCTGCTCCAACTGTCCGTCATGCCCAGAGTGAGAACCCTAAAAACATATATTTTAAAAAATCACAAGTGTTATAAAAGAACCAAACCTCAAACAGAATTAAGGGCTTGGAGGATTGGGCAGTGGGGAGGTGACCAGGAGACCTGGCTGGGAAGCTAAGTTTACTCGATACCATTGCATTTACTAGATTCCAGCCCTCTTGGGGATATGTATATGCACCCTCACTTCTTAACAGGCTTTAGAAATAATTGACATTATTCACACTTCATTTAAAAAGTTAACTCAAGGGTTGAGGTGTGGCTCAGTGGTGGAGTGCTTGCCTAGCGCACATGAAACCCTGGGTTCCATCCCCAGCACCCCCCTCCCCGCCAATTTTTTTAAAAAAATTTGATAGTTTTCTTACTTCTTTCCAGAAAGGAATGAGAGAAGCATTCATGGTCACATAAAATGAAGAGAAAGGAGGATTCTTTCTTTCTTTCTTTTTAAATGTTTATTTTTTAGGTGTAGATGGACACAACACAATGCCTTTATTTCTATGTGGTGCTGAGGATCGACCCCGATTCCCGCCGGTGCTAGGCGAGCGCTGTACCGCTGAGCCACAATCCCAGCCCAGATTCTTTTTTTAAAGCAGATGACAAAGGACACAGGAGGGTGGGGAAGGGAGCATGATTCTAATATATAGGCTTAGGCACAACATTCAGACCGGGGTCCAGACTTGATAAACACAGGTCCTCGTTTTGTTATTGCAGGGAAGAGGGTCAGACACCTGGAGATGGACAAGGAACTGTTCAACAGAATCTGGGGAAGGACATGTGGAACCAAGTTCACATAGAATGTTCCAGAAACACAGTATCAGATTTTCTACCACTGGGCTGAGGGTACATGGTATGTATGTATGAACCAAGTATGTGTAAGTTGGAACACGAGAGGACATTGCTCCTCTTCCTAGAAGTCTTCTCCTTCTGAGATGTAAGACTCCTTTTGCCTCCATCATCAGAAAAAGGAACCGTGTCAACAGGTGCTGACAGCTGACTTACCAGCAAGACATGACTATGTGGCAGAACTTTCTGGAAAGGCACACCCCAAGTGGCGCTTAGTTAGAGGAAATTAAAAAAAAAAAAGATTGCAAAATTTCTGTCTAAGGCAACCATCAAAATGTGTTCTTAGGAAAGGATCCGGATGGGATTGTTTCATTAGTTATTTTGGAGGAGAACCAATTCATTCGTGTGGGGGGTCAGCAGATGTTTCCTGAAAGGGATCCCATTGGAATGGTGCCTTCAAGGACAGGTACATGGTCGAGGGGAGAAGGGAGCAGGGCAGGAAGGTGGGTCTCTGATTTATGCCTAGAGCCGATGTAGCCTTGAGGAGCTCGGTGGAGCTTTCCTGCTGCTCCACAAAACCCAAAGCTGCCCATCCCCGGCCCCATGCCCAGGACTTGCTGCAGGGGAAGGGAGGTCCCAGGTACGAGGCTAGCCACAGACCCCTCACCTTTACTTCTGCCCCAAGACAGGGAAGGGAAACCCTTTTCTGGGTGTCATGGTGGGTGGGAAACACGTGACCAGGGAATTTTAAGACAGTGGAGCTCACATAGGGAGCACAGGGAATCACGAGGACCGGCGGCCACTCCTGAACGTACCTGAAGGATCCCAGAGGGCTTCTGGGAGGAGGGGATGCCCGGAGCAGGCGGCCATTCTGGAAAAGGTGGGGAGGGGAGATTCCCAGGATGGCATCAGCACGTGCACAGATTGGAAGAGTGAAGGAACAGGACTCGGGAAGAAGCGAGATAGTCCAGGGGTAGGATTTTGAGTTTGGGGAGCAGCTGGTGCTGGTGGCAAGGACAAAGGTTTGGAGTAGAGGAGAAAGAAGGTAAAGGCCACCTGATCGAGCCTCAAGCCAGGGCCACTCTAGGGTGTCCATTCTTTTTAGAGAGAGAAGGCTCCTATGACCCAGGAACCCATTTCAGTGCAAAGGACGCATTATGCTTTGGTTATGGCTCTTTTTGCAGGGATGGGGGGTAGTACTGGGGATTGAACTCAGGGGCACTCCACCACTGAGCCCCACCCCCAGCCCTATTCTGTATTTTATTTAGAGACAGGGTCTCACTGAGTTGCTTAGTGCCTCACCTTTGCTGAGGCTGGCTTTGAATTTACGATCCTCCTGCCTCAGCCTTCCAAGCCGCTGGGATTACAGGCACGCACCACCGCACCCGGCTTGGTGGTGGCTTTTTTAGAAAAAAAAAATTGTTTATTTTTTCACGTGGTGCTTAGAATCCAACCCAGTGCCTCACGTGTACTAGGCAAATGCTCAACCACTGAGCCACAACTCAGCCCCGCTCATTGCTCTTAATATCGACTTTGATTATTATGATGAAAAAAATGAGTGTGTCAAGAGGTCTGCAGAACACAATGCGCCTGCCTTCCACTCCGCTGTATTCCTGTTTTGACACCATTGCATGTTTCAGATCCTTTTAAAAGTAAATATGACAAATATAGTGTGAGTCTTCTTCTAGGACTTCCAGTCCGTCTCTGGTCTCATTCCCATTTCCTTCCCCAAGGCTACTTCCCTCCCAAGCTCGGTGTTTATCACATTAAAGAACACTTTAACTGTGCATGCACCCTTGGATGATATTTCGGATTGTTTTGCCCATTTGGAAGCTAAGTAAACACGCTCCCACGTGGTCTGTATCCTTCCGGCTCTTGTTTTTGTCTCTTCCACATTTTGAGATAGATCGATTCAATGCTCATTTTTCATTAAAAAGAAGATAAACACAAGAAAACGAATGCTGAGCAAACACAGGAGGCGATTTCCTTAAAGGCAATTTCCAGGGATCTACAGAAATGGTTTTACTTAATGATAACATGAGAACCATCTTCGGTAAAAATCAAGAACAAACAAACAAATGAAAAAAAAAAAAGATGCCCACTGAGGGGGGGGGGGTTGGTTTGTGTCCCCCACAAAAGATAAGTTAAAGCCCTAATCCAGGGTACCTGCAAATGGGACCTTATTTGGAAATGGGTCTTCACAGATGTAATCAAGTTCTGGTGAGGTTAGGACAAGATCGAATCCCATAAGCCCCTGTCCTTCAACCAAGAGAAGAGACACAGATAAGGTGTTGTGCTGGGACAGGAGGGGAGAAGCCAGGGCTCACCGTCCGCCTCCAGAAGCTGGCAACAGGCAAGAAGGGTCCCCTCCATGACTCAGAGGGACTCTGTCTTGTGGGAACTCTGTCTTGTTTCAGACGTGACCTCCAGAACTGTGAGACAGCACACTTCTGTGGCGTTAAACCACACAGTATGCAGTGCTTTGATAGGGCGATTGGCACCTACCGAACATCTCCACAAGGTCACACGCCAGGTAACCATGTTTCCATCGGTGACGAGCCACACAGATTGCAGAAGACGGTATCACCCATGACATCACAGCCATCTCAGTTTGTAGGAGCATCCTCTATGATATCTGCAAAAGAGCCTAACAATGCTTTTCGCCCAATGTACTGCATGACTTTAAATATGAGAAAAATATTTTGGTAAAATCAAGAACAAAATAAAGATGCTTCTCTTGCTTTCTGCCAATGCAATAAGAAAATAAATATTGGAAAGCAAAAAGGAAAGTTGACAGTCCGTCAAAGCTGGGATCATTTATCTAGAAATTGCTAAGGATTTAACCTCTGGACTAATTAAAGATTGTGGCAAGATTAACCTTTAAAAAGACAACTTTCTCATGTTCTAGCAATTAGCATCTGCAAAGGAAAGAGAAACCAAAGCCCCTTCGCCAAATAGGAAATACTCTTGG